TTGTGTGTGCTTAGTTTATAATTTTCTAGTGATAGTAAATAAGAGAGGTGAATGTCATCAGACGATTGTATTAGATGACAAATGTCTTTCTTGCGTGAGAAAATATATTTTGATTATATTTATACGAATAATATACGCCTATGTTATTATATGTCGAACGACAGTACAATATAATTGTACTGTCCAGATAAAATTAGAAAAATATTTCTTTAATTAAAAGTTATTAACAAGATTTTATGCACATTGTAACTGTAATTCTAAGAGATATTGTGCCGTTAAGCTGGCAGTAAATCCCTCTTATTATTGGTTACGTAAACTGTGTTTTAACGGGATTACATGAATGACTGATTTTAATCTGCAACACTCCGCCATTATTTGCTCGCATTTTTCAACCGTTTTGCGGTAATTTTTGTCAAGTAAAATGACAATTGTATGTCTGTGTCTAGAGGGTACGTTTGTGACAGAAGGTCTCTATTTGTATTCATAAAGTCACGTACCTCTTGATCTCTCAAACAGATGGAGACTGTCATCTCAAGTCCTGTTAATTAAACACAAAGGCATTTTTGCTAATTAAATTTGCTTCAATTACTCGTTTTATACGCACACATGAAAAAAATATATTGCACATAAAAATGTTACGCGCGATATAAACGCGTACACGCAGTTTCATTACGTCTATGACTATGGAAGCAACGGTGCTTGGTAACCTTGAACCAATTATGTATACCAATTATTTCGCAAACCGGCCGTTTTGCATTTCGGCGAGGTCATTTCGTCGAGTTTACGCTTTTACGTGCCTCGTAAATAATGGTGTAGCAAGGAATGCGGTTATCTACATGGAGGGATCACTGCGCTGAATTAACGAAACTGCGATGGCAGGCCCTAGCCGTTTTTCCTTATTACGTAAAATGACAGGTTGTTTCGTGGTATCCAAAGGTTTACGAAATATCAAAATTTACATAAATTTAACGTTTATACTAAAAGAAATCGTGCAAAATGAGTTTTTGATTTTCACATTGCTAAAATAAGAAAATTTGTCCTCTCTACACAAACTAAAAGTAATATAATGTTATGAAAAATTTAGAAATAAGTCACCCAGTCGCCATCGAAAATAACATGATATTAATGTTATAATTTCTCAATACAATATAAATGTTATATAACATGATTATAACATTGATATTATGTTACTTTTAAAATAAACAATAACGGACTCCTGATAAATCGAATTACAGTCACGAAAATAATTTATAAGCAAAGTTTGCATCTTTGCGCACCGATACTCGCGCCTAACTTCTACATGCCTAATAATTATTTAAAAAGCCGCACCCAGTCAACATTAAAAGTAACATCTGCACGGTAGTTATAGGAATTAGGCGCGGGTATCGGTGTGCAAAATTTGCGACTTCTATATGTTACTTTTAATGTTGACTGGGTGGCTTTTTGAATTTTTCATAAAATAATGCTTATGCAAGAGTGCATCCTTACGTCCACATGCAACCATTTCTACGAGGTAACCATCGCCACAAGAGCGTGGCATCTAGGAATTTTATCAGGTTTATATCGCTATTTACATTCCCCTGAATCTCTAAACGCTGGCTTGATCTACGCGCGTCCGTTAGCTTCTCCAACAAAAGGACGTCTCTGAAGGAGTTCCGTGGATGCAACTCTCGCACGATCCACGTTGGATAAAAGTCACCGTACCTAGCGCAGATCTGTCGCGACGTCAAGCATGGTGCACGGAAACACTCACCACACGCGTCCCGTATTTAAACGCCATAAATTCTCGCGCGACTCAACCGCGTATCCCCCGGGAGAATCGGGCCGATTAGTCGACATTGAAAGTTGCCGAGCGGTATCCTAAGGTTAACGGTGTCTTGGGCAATTAAGTCTGCCGCGCGCCTCCGGCTTGCGTGCCCTCACTATGCTGGTGCGTAAACACGCGTGCACGCGTGTACAAGTGTGCGCGCGCGGCTTAGCTCGCTTACTTGCTCGTATACGACAATTACCCTTTAAATTGCCGATGATCTTATGGGGAGGAAAGTTCAGGGTGACGTGTTCTTCTTTTCCCTCGTCTCTTTCTCTTCTTCTTCTTCTTCTTCGTTCTCTTCTTCTCTCGCCCGTCCTCTCGAGGATTTACTCCCACTCAATCTATCTCTGTTACCGTCGTGGCTGGTCGGCTATACGGAATAAGCGTGAGAAGAAATGCCTCACTCTCCGTGGGGTATCCTAATACAGCAGGATACGCTGATTGTGAGATTCAAATGCCACGGTTGACTGTTAGATGGATTAATTATCGGCAAGCTTACCGAACGATTTTTTCCCGCGTCGAGGACTTCCTCAATTCTCCAAGTGTATTAGCGAATTCGTAACGCACGGATATCGGAATGAGAACGTTTCTAATTATGAGATTATAATTGGAAATTGATCAATCTCGATCAAGAATCCGTCTACGTAATAAATGTAGATACAGTTAGAATGCTCCAACTCATTAATGTAGTTATTAATAGATCATAAATGTATATTTATATCGTCGTGACAATAACTAATAAAAAATAATTAGTGTTAATATTAATAATTAATGTACGTAAAAATAATTAATATACATCTATGCACTTGCGAAAAAGATAAAAGGAGCATGAATTAATCCATGTAACTAAAATATAAATACCTTTTTGTAAACATAATATGTAAAAAACGCTATTTTATATGCATCGTTTATTTGCTTGGGACAAATAATTTTGTAAATAAAGAAAGACGCAAATACGTGTAAATAAAATAATTCCGAATATTCACTAATTTTTAAATAAATCGCATTTGTTAATTTGATTGCTTTGTATGGTCTTACCGACCTAATTAAACGACACAGTTTATGTGTATGTACGTGCATGTCAAAGATATTAATTCTCGACAACAAGATGTTAACATTTCAAATGTCTGATCTTCGCATAGATAATCAAGTTGCCTCGCATAATGGCTTCAATTTCTCAGCTAATCCCGCAATATATTGATGCGGTGTGTCGCAGTAAAATCACGCGATTGCAAAGCTAATTAAACGAATGAATTCCCACACATGTATCACAATGTGTTTAATAAGTTTATTCGCATAACATTAAGGACTATAAGTATATGTGTATTTATCCTATTTTATTTATTAAAATTTTATTTCAAAAATACCAATACTTTCGTTTGTTTCAAATATGGAATTGTCACAATTATTTGATTAACAATATACAGATATATAACACAATAATACATCAACGTGCTTGGTTTTAGGAAAATAAAATTTGTTTAATTTTTTTAATAACAGTCGATCAAGAAGGTATAGAAAAACATAAAATTACGAAATTGTAGAAATTCTTACACTGCGTTATTTGCTACATCAATTGCGTTACGTAATAACTCATGTTCTTTCCGCTGTATATAAGTACATCCTAAGTTGCGACCGACGGAAGCCGCGTGCGTCACGGCGAAATCGCAGCAGCTTCCAGAAGACGCAGATCTACGATTTGCCGGACGAAAAACGATCGAGGTGAGGCAAGGCTTCGCTCGAGGAAAAGGGAGCATTGAACCGCGGAAGCATCGACCGCTTGAGAAGTATGCAAACGGATGATAATTAGCTCTGAATCCATCCACGGTGATATGAATTTCTTGACGAGCAACGACGGATTCCTCCGCGTGGCAATATGCCACCGGTAGCGACTGTCAGGCGCTTCCCACGAAGAATCTGATCGGACACGCCTGCCCTGCCGGGGGCCCCGGTTGTAAATCGCGATACATAGGCAACACGACGACATCTCGTCCGTCGTTGACCTACCTATAAGCGGTAATATCCCTTAAGAGGGCCGGTTCATGAAAGTGATTATGTAAAGCAGCATTTCTGAATCGCAGATTCGAATTATCTCGGCCTGCACCGTGTACCGTAGGTCAGGCTCGCGGCTACACATTATATGGCATAAGGTCTGTGCCCTCCCCAGTGCCTCTCCATGATGATAAAGATCGAGAGTACATATTTCTGTAATACGTGCTCCTCGGGGATGCACGTACAAAAGAAGCGGAGATCATCGCAATATTGCATGATTTATGACTGTTACGAGAATATAATAGCTGATAATATAGTCGGTATATTATGCATGTATCAATAAGAAAGATGTCGCACGCTCCGTGATCTAAATACCATAATCTAGAACGGTGATGAACCGTCTTCAAGTTGGAAAACTTATCTTCCGTCATTAATCTTTGGAAGACTGGAAGATGTTACTATGATATTCTGTTTTAGTTTGGTAAATTCTATGATATGCTTCTTTAGTATGGCAAATTACGCCGCAAGCTGTTATATTTTTTATACAAAGATATAAAGTTGCATGTGGAATAAGTTGTCGTAATTTGTGCCAAATGTATACATTTATATTTTTTTTATGAAAAAAAATGTTTTTATACAAACATATGAAATATAATACAGCTTAAAAATTACTCTAAAAACATAGAAGGTTGTATAAATAAAATAAATAAATATTCTCATTCTTTATGTACGCATACGTTTTATTAACTCATGCAATATAGTTTTCAGAATGTAATTTGTAAGATGCATATTTTGGCTTTACATTGTACATCTCTCTTCGGAGTCCGTATTTAAATAAGACTTCGCGATTTTCTTGCCAAGTAAAATCACGTATAAAGCCTTCCGTTATATATTTGATTCTGTTTCATCGCTATTTATTTCGATATAATTATGTCGACAATAATTGCGATCTAAATGGAAGTTATGCTTGAAATTTTCGAAAGCTGACCAAAATTCTGCGATCTTTTGATCTATTCGCTTTATTAAATCATCACGATGCCGTTGGACTTCAACTTTAACAATATGTTCTATCCTACGTAAAAACTTAGCGTTGTTCTCGTACGATGCCGTCAGTTTGGAATTAGTTGATTTATTAAACTCATCTCGATTTTTTACAGTTATATCTTCACAGTTGTACGCTTCGCTTTTCTCTTTTCTAACTTCCGACAAATTTATTGTATTTTGCATTTCAGACCTGCAACCATTATATTTGAACTTCTACACTAAAAAAAAAGATTGGCTGTTGCAGCAAATTAGATGATAAAATATGGCATAGTATTTTTATTTGCTGCAGCAGTCAATCTTTTTTTCAGTGTACTATAAATGTTGCGCGGATTTCCATAAATAATATTATTTATGATAATATTATTTAAGAAAAATGTGACACTAAATAAGGCTTTCAAAAAAAATCAAACTAATCAATTTTATAGTAAAAGGGTAGAAAAAAATTTATAAGCTAATTATGTATTCTAAATAAAAATCAAAATTAAAAATTTCAGCTTCACAATCAGTTTGCAATTACGTTTCAAGTTTAATAAACCGAATCTACCGCGCAATTTATAAAATCGAATAACACACATATATTTATAAAAATTTGCATGTCAATATTATTAAACATCAACATCCGCTTCGATCAAAAATGAAAAAAAATAATCAAAGATTACTCTTGTTAATTGATTTATTCTTATTGATCTAATTTCTACTTCTAAAATTAAAAAATTTTTAGAAAGTAAAGTTGATCAGTTTGGTTTATGTGAGACTCAAATGTCGATTACCATACTCGAAATTGTTCCCATAGTTCGATCAAATTGCTTTCGTGTAAACTAATAACATCCTCTTTAAGTCGCTTCTCTCACGAATCGATTTGTCTTTGAAAGTCAAAGTAAGATTTCGCACTTCGCTTCTCCAAGATTTCCAGATGTCGTTCGATATTATCATACACTTTCCTCATATTTTCCATCTCGTCATGTATCCTTCTTCTTTCTGTCAATTGCCATCTGACTATTTGAGAGAAGATCCTCTTTTCGTGCTCATCTTGCCAAGTCAGCAGATCTCTCTGAAGAATTTCACATCTCTCGTGACTCTGGCATTTCTGTGGACTCTGGTACCTCTTCAGGGCGACGATCTCCCTCTCAGCTTGGGACAATCTGTACTTAAGCTGTTCCACGGTGGTCTTCAAGGACTTGTCACGGAGACCGATTTCTGCCTCATCATTGTCGCCGGAAGCTTCCGCCTCTGGAACGCGCATTCTTGTGTGACATAACAGGTACACATATTCCGTTTACTTTATGCAATGATAACGCGGAATGTTAATAAAAAACTAAGAAGTCTCGCGAATTTTATACTTTCAAATATTTTGGTTATACTATCGTCTTCAACTTTAAATTGTATTTTACACGCTGCTATATTAATTTTTCTACAGAATTTTCGCGAAGAAACCTTTGAAAGCATCTGACTCGAAACAATAATAGCCGCCTGTGACTCTTCTAGGCTGATGATAATCTTGTTCCATTTGATCGTCTCCGGAGCTGCTATCCCCTGCCGAATCACTCTTCTTGTACTTTAAAGTGTTAAGTTCGTACATCGGATTGCCATCGAATCTCATTTTGTTTTAATTCACAATTCACGTTTCTATTTCAGTTCAATTTACCTTCCGATTTTCTCAATATCCTTTGGTAATCTTTATAGGGAGATCTTGTCATTCGATAACTATTTCTTTCTGGTTCAATAAAATTAGTAGATGCCTCCTTGAAACATAGCGTGGATTCGGATTCCTCTTCAATGGGCGATAAACTACGAATTTCTTCGAAATTCTCGCTTTTTCGCATATTTTCAATACTGTTCCTGACGCATTCGGCAGCCTCTAGATATTACATAATGTATTACATACATTACATAAATAAATATTAATATGATAGTAAAAGAAGATATTCATATACGTTGTTTTTATTAAAGATATAAAACAGATAAATTCAGAAATTAACATTTTACTTAAAACAAATATTTTAATAATTATATATACAAATTTTTTTATATAAGAGGTTGATAGAAATTTGATTATCTTATCATAATAATTTATTAAAATTCTATAAAAAATATTAACAATCATTGAAATAATTATTTAAAAAATCATTGTATTATTATTTTATTATTATAATCTTATTCTATTAAAAATAACATAACACACAACTAAACCAACCCATAGCTATATTCCACACTTGATTCACAAAGGATCTTCTCGTGGATCCAACAGAAGAGTTTCTCTTGCAGTGACCTTCGTCATGCGCGATACGCGAGGAGTGGAGAAGAAATCCGTATCCGCGTCCTTTGGTTGCTCAATCGCGGGAAAAAGAAACTGGGAGGATATAGCATAGAATGGCAGGACGAACAGCAAGAACGAGCTTAATGGCGCTGTAACGCTGGCAGCGGGCAATTTTCAATTTCGCTGACTCGCGCGGAAGTGGCTTTCCCACCTCCGTGGCGGAATTGAGACGTCGCTACGAGTCATGGGGCACTTGGCACCACCAGATTTGACATGGACAGCTGGTTGCATTGGACACGTTAGGAACACCGTAAGGAAAAAGAGCGGATTTTCCCGGATAGTTGCGCGATATTAACCCTTTCACTGCTTAACATTGATATTCCTGTTGAAATAAATTTAAAATTTATATGGGATCGATCGGGTATCAGTATCTCTCTCGGATAACGTCAACATTATGAAAAAGAAATTTCTACAGAATTGATTAGGTGGATAAACATAAATGTGATTGTATCTCTTAATAAAATGCATTAAAATATTTATTTTCATCTTAGTATAATTTATTATATAATTTATTACTTTATAATTATAATATATTTGATTTAGAATATACACGCTGTCTGGAAATCTTATTTTTATCCTGCATACGCTCGATAACGATCATAATAAACGTTGCACCTCGAAGATCTTCAAGATCTGAATAAATAATAAATGTCTATAAAAAAGGCACACGCAGTTTGTAATAATTATCGATGCTTATCCGTTTACGTCAAACATTAAGGTTATTCGACTGCCGGTTCTCGCGATGTTCGCTCCACACACGGAAATGGAGGAGAGGCGGCCGCTCGCTTGCTTGCGAGCGGTGTATGCGGATTGTTGCGTGAAATTAAATAGAGAACGGAGCCACGAGTAGCATCACGGATCCGAGATAATCGGGTGTCGAAGCTCGCGCGAGCCCTTCCGCTCGATATCCTAGTTTCGCGCGAGGATCGGCCGTCCTCATATGAGAACACCTGCGGCGAACAAGAGCGGCGTAACAAGAACGGCGAGGAGGAAGGAAGCGTAACGAAGGCGCCTGCATACGAGAAGAGCGAAAGAATGGACGGCAAGAACGGTAAGGAGCAAAGAGTCGCACGGTGTGTGTTATGGGTATAGCGGTTCTAGCGGTAGATACCCGCAGATAACGCGCTTATTTACATAGGCAGGCGCATAAGTGCAAAGCAACGTGACGTTAATGAATTGCACGCGTAACGCATGCAATCCGCGTAAGGATATATAAGGTAACCACCGCGTCTATCGGAAATTTAATTTATCAAGTATTATTTACTATGTTTAAGCTAAATAAATTGCACCAATAAAACTTTTATACTGACTAACTATAAAAAGATCAGAAATACGAAACATTAATTTTTTTATATTTAAAATAAGCTATTTGAAACTCTCATTTTTACTGTATATCTTATGGTGGGATATGCAGTTACTCATGGATGGAATGTATAGCTCATAATTTAGAATTTCAACTCAAAATTTAGAAATATTTATAAATGAGACGTAAAATGACAGAATAACTCATTAAATGTATTTACAAAGTTTTAGTGGGGAATGAGAATGACAAATATACATACAAAGTTATAGATAATAACTCTAATCTTTTGCATATATTATAAGTGTTATGATATAAGACATATATTTCATGTAATGCATTTATTGCATTTAGTGCATTTGTTGCATTTAATGCACTGAATCCAATATGCGCACTATATGTGTTGTGGGTATAAATCCCACGCGCTAAAAATGTCTTGTATATCCTAAACAGGTAGGATATACAAGACATCAAGTAGAACAAAGGAAGTACTTACTAAGCACATGTATTTTGCTATACCTCATCCTTTACTATCTCTCTACACTTACGTATCACGAAGTAACTGCTAAACCTTTTACACTTCCTACAGTAATTATTTTACACGGATTGTACATGATTGCGCTACTTACTGCATTGATTCAATTCACAATGCTTTCATTAATATTAATATTAGTAAAAAAAAATCACAACACAATACTGATATAATAAAGGCATATAATAGAGTGATTGCGCGCGAACTACCTTCTTTTATTTTTTCTGACTTCTGCAATGTAACTCTTCGAGCAGCGTAAATACTTTAAGTGAAGAAACGGACGCGAGTTTTTCTCACGGGTCGATCCTTTTACTCAAGGATCCTTTTACCGAGAATCAAGAATCGAGATGCTTCGCAATCTAAAATCAGAAATACATTTATGCGGAACTATAAGACATAAAATGTAGATTTTCGATAACTATATTGTATATTACAAAATTGCTCTACATTATAATACAATAAAAAAGAGTAATAAAAAAGGTAAAGCAACGGAGTTTCTTTTACATTGTTTACATACACATATTCTTGTTAACGAATATTATATAATCAAAAAACAATGAATATTATATAATTATCTTCTTTTATAATTTACTAGAGTTTTTTTATACATTAATATATTTGACAGAGCACATAAAAAATATTGGCAATTATCGAAAACACTTTTAATATATCTCAATTTATCTGATATAGCTGGTTAGGTACTCAACACTACTTTGTGGAATAGTTCCATGCAAATGGAAGAAATGGAAGCAACTTCATTATTGTTTTATCAGTTCGGTGGAATGCCGACGTGGGATTGCTTGTTAGCAATCGCGAGAAAATCCGTGGAAGAAAAGGAGAATTAACGAACGTCACGCTAAGCGATTGTTGCCGTTATCCAATTGTATAACGATGAGATCGAAACAGTATCGGGTTAAATGATCTACAAACAAATCTGTATCATATATTCATGATTTAGTTCAATTCGAATGTGTACATCAGAAAGATTATTGCATATACAATGACATGTCACGAAGCATGTATGTGATCTTCTCCGAAGAAATTGGCTTACGACGAAAGGATTATGCCCAGTTTGGGCCGCGGCTAAACAGCATTGAGACCTAGCTAGAATTGTAGAACATCAAAAAAGGATGAAAAAGTTTCATATGCACAACTTTGTAAAATGAGTCCCTTGAGCGCTACAGCTGTTCAAAGTTCGCTTTTATGACCATATATTGTGTATCATGTAGGACTAGTTTTATTCGATTTCTCGAATCATCTAGTATCTGGAATATGTCCAATCTCGACGAAGACAACTAAAACCTTTTTTGGACCCCAAATGAATAGTTATAAGTAATATATATTAATCGATGAAGAAGGGAGAGAGACACTCAAAGTATGAAACAAAAGGTTTTAATTGCCTAATTGAAATGTGGCCAATATATGTTCTGGGAGCACTCAGGAAACCTCTCCTATAAAGTTAAGCTTATGGAGATTTTTGATTCTCTTTTGATACCTTAAAATTTTAGGCATATCTCAAAGTTGTTCATCCGGAGCCCAAATTTCCCTATAAAACTGGGCATAGTCTTTTGTGGACTAAATTCTTCATTTGCTCTATAAATTTGAAACAACGTTACCAAAACTGAACATGTTTCTAAAACTAAATCTTTGTCTCGAGAAAGTGAATACGTCTTCGTCTCGTACATCATCTTGAGAGAATGAACTTGAAATCGAGCGTACTTATAAATCATACACTTTTAAGTTTACTTGCTACAGAATGGACATCCAGCATCCGGTTATTGCGCCGCACAATGGAGGAGACGCGCGATGAACCACGCCGAAAATGACTCATCCATTCCGCTTTCAGCGGCCACCCTGAAGCCGATTGGCTTTGACGGCAGTCAAAGCCGCCACTCGACTAACTTGTCACCGATCTCGGATAACATATTATTAAAGAAAAACGCGCCTGCGACTAAAAGAAAGAGAGACAAAGAGAAGAAAAACGTCTGCAATTAGCTCGGCGAGCGCCCGCCAGAGGTCTTATCGCTGTGTCAGTATAGCTGTCGTTAATTAATTTTATACCAATTGTATATCCGTCCCCCGCGTGAAAGAAGTAACCGCAGACGGCGAACTTGCCGCAAGGTTGACGTCGACTCTTCAACCTTGGTCGATCTATTCTTTCAATAGCCTTCGACACGTCCAGCCGCATCCTTCTTCTCCCCTTTCTCATTCTCGGTTTTCGTGGTCAGTTCAATTAAGTCTTCTCGTCTCTCCCGGAGACCGCCGCGAATGTTGGATACCTTGTAATTTCGCCGTCATTGTTCGGCGATTGTGTGCTTACAGAGATTGTTACTACTTCTTAATGCTTGATTGATTGAAAAAAGTATCCATCTTCCTTGTATTATTTACACTTAAGGTGACTATTACGTTAAATGTGACATTATCAGATAACAAAGGAGCAATGGTGACTCAATTTCTTGAGTCAAATAACATTTTGTTATTTTTAACTTTTATGTGTAACAAAATATAAATTAATTGATTGTTTTTGTGGTTAATTTTAAAGTGAACGATATTCATATTAACGTATGTATTTGGTAAATAATAAACGAAATTTGAGTCAAGTTTAATATATTTTCTTAAGTTAAATTGTTTAACTCCATAGTTTTACTAAAATTAATAACATATTGAGGAGCAGTGGTGACTTATAGAAATGATTAAAAATAATTCAAATTGGATAATTTGACACTATGAATTCAACATTTGTACAGTAATAAATAACGCTATAAATGATAAAAGCTTAAACATTTGCATATCCAATGAATATCTATAAATATCCGTTGTGCCTTCTTTACTCATAAGACTAATAGCCGAGAAATGTACCGGTGGCAAGAATGCCGTCAACGACAGACTTCGAGAACTTCATTTACGCGGTCGCACACCGCCGAATGGAGATACAACGATAAATAATAATGATAAAACGGTTAACGCGCGGCTTTCTCGCTGACTCAGGAACGTCGCGAACCAGAAGCAACGGAAGCCTCTTGGATATCACCTCGAGAGAATATTTACGGGAAGAGCTAACAGTATCATACCGATGCGATACCGATGCGACTATCTTGCTGCGACGGTACCCACGGCGCGGAGGAACAATCAAGCAAGTAGCGTGAAATCGCGATACGACGATACTTCGTGTCCGTATAGAATGATTAGAGAACGAACAGGAGTGATTCTCACGAGACTCGCTTCATCAACGGCTCGTTCTTACAGTTCTTTCTTTGGTCCCACTAGGAACTGGGGACATGTCCAGAGCAATCCAACTTCATTTTAGCAATCATTTCTGATAATTCAATTTGATACAACACTGGCAAATTTTTTTATTAAAAGTTTCGGAAATTTCACCCGAGTGCCTTAATGTGTTATTCTATCTTTATTGTTCATTAGATATAAAATAAGGATAAAATGACACACTTGGATGAAGTTTCTGAACTCAGTTCTAATAAGTTCGTAAAATAAAATTAAACCAATAAAATATGCTTAAGATCAATTTACGAGTAGATAAGA